TGGGAAAAAGGGAATGGGAACAAAAATTTTTTTTTAGGGAATGGGAATCAGAAAAAGTCGTTCCCGCAGGACACTAATTGATAGCCAAATGCGTTCGTAACCATCTGACTTGGTATGATGGATCAATTACCTAAACTATAATTGTTATAATAAGACCGATCATATTCTACTTAGATTCATTTTTGATCATTAATTCATTCGGCGATAGTGAATTCACCGAAAATAGATTAATTCATTTGCGTAGCTTAGCTGATAGTGGCAGCAGAATTAATAAAACTAACAAAATCTATGATGTCGTTAGTTTACAGTATGAAGAGAATTAAAAAAAAACAGGAAAAATGGACAAGATGGAAATATTATATAACAATATCCTAAGCTGCGCTTTATTTTTCTGTATAATTATTTTTTTAATTGACCCACTTATAAAATGGCCTGAACAAGTACATCGGAGGAGTCATTTTAGAAATGCGGAAATGAGTCATTCGCATCACCTAGAAAAGCCAATCTATTGGTCGGACTTTTTCATCCAATCTGTTTTTAATGAAAATATAAAATTGTCATCGTCAGGCATCAAGCATACTGCAAGGATTAAAAGTGAATTAAGAAATGTTATTGGTGTTGCTGCGTGGAAACACTAATGACCTTTCTTATTCGTTTTTAATTCTTATAGTGTATTTGAGGCCTTAGGCATCAGGGGCGACACGAAGGGATCGGAGCAGGGTTGGAGTTGATTTTAAAATCGGAGAAAGTCAAAAAAGTCTTCTTCAAACTGAAATTTTCTTCGAATCAGAGAAAGTTGTACAGATATATTCCTCTAAAATCGGAGAAAATTGCCTAGTAATATTCTCCTAAATTGGATTTCTGCGAGTTCGCAGAAACATATTAAACAACTTTCTTCAAATTTGGATTTTCTTCAGTTTTGGAGACCTATATTAAGCAATTTTTTAATAAATTCGGAGAAAACTCAAGTTGCAGAATGTTTTTTTTGGCAATATTCTTCGATTATGGAGAAATTTATATAATATATTTCTCCAAAATTGGATAAAATTGCTTAGTAAAATGCTGAAAATCGGAGAGAATTGATCCCCAAAATATTCAAATTTGGGGAAGTTCTATCCACAATTTTACAGAGCAAGAGAATAATGACTCTCCATTTCCTCGGTTGCGCTGTCCCTGAGTGTGTTTGAGACTTTAGCCATTTATTTATAAATAATAATTTTGATCACTTAGAACAATAAAAAAATTACGCTGACATCCTCATCTATGGAAGAATCAACACAACATATTCGTATTACTGGTATGACTTGTCAAAGTTGTGTAAGAAATATTGAAAATACAATAACAAAATTAAATGGAATTCAATCAATTAAAGTATTACTAAAAAGAAATTTTATTTATTAGTAAATATGAAAATTTCACGTTTTAGGTTTCTCTGGAAGATAAATTAGGAGTTGTTGTTTTTGATTTAAATGTTATTAATATAAATGATATTATTAAACGTATTAATGGAATAGGCTTTAATGCTGAACTTAATCAAACAATACAAAATGATAACCTTGATGTTGAGCTTGGAGGAATATCAGATGAAAATATTCACATTGCTATTGAACGCATATCATCAATAAATGGAGTCTTAAATGTTAATTTTCCTTTCAAAAATGACCATACTCATGTACAGATTTCTTGTGATAAAAATCAACTAGATCCCTATACACTTTATCAAAAAATACAATCAATTGGTTATAAAGTAAATCCAAAATTAGAGAATATTTTTCAAGCTTATTTGCGCGTACAAGGAATGCATTGTAATTCGTGTGTTGTGCTTATAACAGATACCGTTGAAGATCTACCAGGTATACATCATA